ACCCAGAAGCACTTATAGTCTCTTATTTCCACTATCAGTATGCGCTTTGTTTACAAGCAAATTCGACGAAAACATTAACAACAGAACATTATATTGTGTCTAAAACATTGTTGGCGTTTTTATATAAAATTAATTCACAAGGGTACAACATTGATTTTATTCTTAAAATAGTTGAAAGTGCACATTCTCATTATAATATATCGGCTGAAGGCCATAAAATGTTTTGAAGCGAACCGTACAGTTTGCCGTAAATCAGATTATAACGTTGAATTTATCAATTTATATATACAATTGAAAATAATAAATACTAAATTATAGCGTAAGGCATGGGCTTTTGTACCATTACCATTATTTGAAAATATAAAATCATCTGACCAAAAAGAAAATGTAACTGCAAGATGCCACCCCTTGTTTTTTTAATTATAGTTTTGATTTTGGATTTTAAAAATATTTGGAAATCAGCCAGTTGTATTCGTCCAGAATTTTCTACTATATTTCAAATATTTATGAATACCAAAATTGTATCATGTCCTTTGGTAAAAAAAAGTACATAATATCTTCTTTGATTGGCATTTAGTAATTGAACATATTTTAAAACACAAGGTACAATTTTATGGATACACAATTACTGAGTTTAATACTAAGCGACGTTTCGACGAGGATACTATCGTCTTTATCAAGTAAATTCACATATTTGTATCGGGGGTTGGATGGCTGAATGGTTAGCGTGCGCGCGCTGTATCATAAAGTCTGTCATTGAGTCGACTGGCGAGTTTTCGAATCCCCGGTTGTACGTGGCAAGGAGTAGGGTCGCCTGTCCAACCTCGTGGGTTTTCTCCGGGTCCTCCGGTTTCCTCCCACTGCTAAAGACCCCTACGCGCAAGCGAATTTTGTAAATAAAATTAAACCATATGTTAGTCCCGAAATGACCTAGTTTGTGTCGAGTGGACGTTAAACCCCATTTCTCTCTCTCTCTCTCTCTCTCTCTCTCTCTCTCTCTCTCATATTTGTATCATTTGTTTGATAAAGACGAGAGTATAATCCTCGTCGAAACGTCGCTTAGTATCAAACTCCGTAATTGTGTATCCATAAAATTTATTCTTTCGAAATATATAGATAGGCCTTACACCATTTTTTTCTTTTACTTTTCTTTTACTTTCACAGTTAGTTTTAGAGGAAAATAAACTCATGATGTATTGTCCAGTTAGTTTTTTTTTTCTTTCGTCTTGTGGTCAGTATAATCTGTAATTTTGGAGTTTTTATTTTTTTTTAAAAAAAAAGGCTATTCACATATAGGCCTATATTTGCGTCCGATTTCTAGTAATTTTAGAAAAGTGCAAAGATATATAGGCCTATATATAAGTTATATAAGTTATAAGTTATATTATATTAATAAACACCTGTCATTGGATAGGCCTATAACCATTTTTATTTAAAAAAAAATTACTTATATTATAGGCCTATATCATATTTTTATTTTTTTTTTAAAAATACTTATAGTATTGGCCTATATCCTATTTTTTAAAACAAATAACTACTTATATTATAGGCCTATATCACATTTTCTTCTTTACTATTTACAATGCTGTTTTTCAATCGTAATTTCAGAGAGAATAAAAGCACAAATTTATTTTTAATAAAATATAGGATTACATTATATAACTATATTTTATGGGCCTATATCCCAATTTTAAATTCGGTATTTTCACTCTTTATTAAATAAAAAATAGTCAAAATTTAATTTTTCACAAATATATAGGCCTACATTATATACCATTTTCGTCTTTACTTTTCTGTAATTTCACAGTCAATTTTAGAGGGGGAAAAACTAAGATTTGATGTCCAGTTAGTCATTTCTTTGATATTTTGGACAGAATAATCTGTAATTTTAAAGTCTTTATTAAAAAAAAATATAGGCTATTCACATAATAAAAGAATTATTGGTCTATGTGTATATGATATTTGTCTAGCTTCTTTTATTACTTCTTTTTAAACGGATGTTTAAACTGATGTTTATATTTTTTGAAAAGTTTAAAGATACATTAGGTAATTGTATGATAAAAAAAACTCCCATAGCTTAGGTCTATATCCTATTTTCTTCTTAAAAGACCCTTACTCATTGCATAGTCCTGCTTACCTCCCATTTTATTCTCATACTTTACAATTCTGTATTTTCACTGTTTATTCACTGTCCAAATTTATTCTAAATATAGGATTATATTATTATAGGCTAAGTCTTAACTCATTGTCTTCTTTACTAGTCGGGAATTATCGAAGAGCGATATCTCGTAATCGGTGTCTTTCAGTGGTGGAAGGATAAATAATTTATTTTTGAATTCCTCAAACACAGAGTGGTTATGCAAGCGAAATGTGCCGAAAAATCGAATTTGACAAACACCAATGAAAAAAATGTATTTTTCATTTGGTGGCGCGCATTTCTTTCAAAATGACTGCCAAATTTGATAATATAATACCACTTAAAAAGAAAAAAAAAATTAATTTGGTAATAAAGGGGCAGCGACAATCTCAAAAATAAATTTCGAGAATTCTTGAAGGTAGAAATTCAAAATGGCGATCATTTGCGACCATCGAGACCACAGCGCGATATCTGGCGTTTCCACCACGCTTATGGCGATCTTGGCGCGCACTGGGGCCATATTCCGTCGCCGTAGCAGCGCAGAAAAGGCGCCACCCCGGTATAACGGGGTAATGAACGTGACTTCTGTCAATTTTGTAAATATTTTGGGACGTTTTCTCGTGTTGTGTTTACGTTTACCGGCGACCTTATGCATTTTCTAGTCGCTGTGCGGTCGCACGGGGGCATAAATAAATATATTGTTAACGTGCTTAAAATACCTGGATGCAAGAGACTTGGTGTAAAAAAAATTCTAGGTATCCACTGTGTTTATGAAAATAATTCATATACTTTATTCAGCTCGACGTAAAACTTAAAAATATATAGACACAGTTGGTTTAACTTGAATGTAGATTTTCCGGCGTGGTCTCCACTTGTCAGTGATGCAGGATTGAGGGCCTGACAAGGACAGCTGTCTAGTCGTTCTAATGGGACGAAAAACCGAGGTCCCGTGTACAGATTGGCATGCACGTAAAAGATCCCTTCGTAGTTGGAATTCGATATAAGAGTAGGCCGTAGCGCCGCTGCCCGGGCACAATTTCCCTCATAGCACACTGTATGGCGTATGCCCGTCTTCATTAGGTTAGGAGCAGAACAGTAGGACGTTAAACCCCATTTCATTTCATTTCATTTTGACTCAACAAAACATTTTGTAAGAATGTATGTTTTTATGGATGGAGCAAAAAGCCAATAAATGTTGAGATGCGTGGAACATGCTCGAGGCAATTTGTAACAAATTTCAGACACGCTATATCTTTGATACTGGTTGAGCATCAGAACAACTTCATTCTTTTCATTGGAAATGGGGCGCAAATACCCAAAGGAGTCGGACAAACTCAAAACCAACTGCGTCCCCTTCACTGGGCCCCTTCAATGTCTGTCTACCTGACCATAAAATCATAGAATTTCAGGCGCTTATTTTGACGGCTAGAAGGCAAAATGGTTTTATCTCCCAAATTATTATTTATATTTTTATTTTTCACTTGACCCGCCTGCATAAAAAATCTGATTTTTAACAGCGTATGCAAGTTAAATATATTTAATAGCGCTTTTATCTGGTGTATCTTTTACTTCATTTTCTTATGAATTATATGATAACACTAAGGTACGCTTTGTGTTGTATAATAACAATAATAGTATGTTCATCTATTGCCTACTTTTCGTTGAATTCTAGGACATATCTATCCACATCCACATCGTAGAGAGTAATATCTATCTCGTAATGTCAGGTCCTCATTAATATAATATACTCTTCCAAAAAAGAAACGCAATGTGACATTTCGTCGTCGGTATACCCTCGCTCTACCACCTCCTCGTTGCAACAGGAACCGCGACACTGTTCTCCAGTGTTGCTGTGGCCATACCTTCGGTGTCTGAACCCATTAAGTCGGATTTCACGGTGTCGGCGTATTTCAAAACAGCAGCTCTAACGGGACGTCTGGCTCGTAATCCGGTTTCACGTAGGCGTTTACGGACTGTCTCGTATGAGATTCTACGCCGTCCAGGAATTGCTGCTGCTGTAGAGGTCGCTGTTGAGAACCGTTTCCGCAAATGACGTCACCGGATGTGATGATCCAGGACAGGTATGTCACTCTTGTTTGGCCTGAGCTTGGGCGGTAACGTGCTGAACTTCGCTTCAAATGGTACTCTGGGAAACATTCAGCAGCCTGGCTACATCTGTCTGGGATTCACCTGCTTGTAACCGACCCTTAGCGTTGTTGCGTTGGTATTCGTTCAGAAGTGGCATCACTTGGTTCGTTGAGTGTTTACATGTGCAACTGATTTTGAAACCGAGAACCCAGGGATTTGTCTTGGTGCAATCAATCGAAAACAAATTTCGGCAAAAAGTATGACCTGTCACAAATAGTGACCCTACATTTAAAACCAATAATGAATTTCTTTTATCCTTACATAATGACATTAAAAACAAGTAAGATTTATGGCAACGACGAAAACAAAGAATGAAAAATGGGCTGTGGGTTTCTTTTTTTGAAGAGTATATTATATAATATAATTTGTTGTAACAAATACGCATATTTAATTTGGACTTCTCTCATTTAGGCTGCCTTCTGGCTAACTCCTAACCTTGACCAATGAGAGTTACTCCCCTTCTCCAGCTCAACCATAAAGGGCGGATAATTTGAAAACGTGCCGCCCCCCCCCCCCCGATTAACCATTGGGGATACCGAGGATGCTAAAACTGGTTGTTTGTTTTTTTCTTACAATGTATAGTCGTTCGGATGGGACCAAATACCTGTTTCTGGATGTTTTGTCGTTTATTTGCGACAAGATGATCGAAGCTGTTTGGGGTTTCAAATTTGAATTTAACATCAACTTTAAAAGCTATCTATATTTTTTGTTTCAGTTATACAGAGTTGTGTAGGTGTGGATAACATGTTTACTTGGTGTCAAAAATTAACGGAGACGAATCCCATAGTTTGTAATGGAACTGTCAAGATAAACTTCATTTCTAGCCCTCATAGTTCAAGGACACGGCATGTTTATGGGGCTATAGATGATCTGCGTAATAAACCAAGAACCATGATATTCATGGGAATAGGTATCCATGACAACTACAATTATTCAATGATTCTAAATGATTATATCCACCCAATATTGATGCATTATAATGCTAAAAAGTCTATATGGCCAAAATTAATGTGGGCAGCAGCTCATGCACCTGGTCTTCTGAAGAGTCCACATTATCCGTTACAACTATATGAACAGTGTGTACGTTTTAATAAATGGCTAAATCCTCGTTTAGAGAAATTAGGAGTACCTGTTTTTGATACATTTAATATGACTGGCGGTGTAACTAGTCCCGATGGCTGCCATTACGGTTTGGCTGTGAACATGTTAAAGGCGAGAATCTTTATTCATTACATAGCCGAATTACAACGAAAAGGACAATGGTGACAATATTACAATTTACATAGCCCACCGACGAGCAAGAACAAGTAATAAACTGACAATTTTTCAACATTCAATATTAACATTATGCGATCCCGTAAGATTGCATCTTCCCAGCGAGACCCAGTACGCACTATCCAGTCCACAAGTGAAGGGCCGTATTTCGCAGCACTCTGCATATTTGTTATTTGTGTCTTTTAGAAAATTGATTGATGGTATTTAGAAAAAGTTGAATATCTCGTAACTTCTACATGTAATTGTAACATTTATAGTTATATATATTGCTTTAGTAGATTGATTACAATGCAGATCTTTGTACAATACAAGTAAATATATTAACCTCTCAACAATAACAATATTTTCTCGATATAAACGATATAAAATGGGGTTTAACGTCCTAATGTTCTGCACTGACTGGGCTAATGAAGAAATGAAATAAAATGAAATGGGGTTTAACGTCCTACTGTTCTTATCGGACTGGGTTAGTGAAGAGTGGCGCTAATGAAGACGGGCATACGCCATACGCCATGAGGGGAATTTGCGCCGCTCTCCGGGCAAATTTCCTTCATAGCACACTGCATGGCGCATACCCGTCTTTATCAGTTGAGTCAGTTCAGAAAAGTCGGACGTTCAACCCCATTTCATTAAAAAAAAAAAATTAATAAAAAAAATACATATTATGGTCAATGTTTTAAAAATTTTTTACCTGTAACTCTATTCGCTGCTACTACTGATGTCATGACACTAATGATTGGTCCAATTGTTATATACTTCAAATGAAATGAAATGGTCCTACTGTTTTGCTCCGACTGGGATAATGAAGACGGGCATACGTCATACAGTGTGCCATGAGCGAAATGTTGCCCGGGCAGCGGCACTATGGCCTACTCTTATATCGAATTCCAACTGACAAGGGATCTTTTACGTGCACTCCAATGTATACACGGGTCCTCGTTTTTTCGTCCCATCCGAACGACTAAGTAGCGGAACTAAATATACCTTCCTAATTTTAAAATAATATATCTTAATGTAAAAACAAATTCAGTTCACTTTTTATAATATTGTAAATCAAGAATGTTACCATAATCAGTAGGTTGAATATGTGTAGAACTATACATAGTTTCTTAAAATTCCATTTCGATAATCCAATTACAATTTTATTGAGGTTTGCGGCAGCTGCTCTGGGTAATATATCATTATACTATAGTGCTTTTTTTTATCTAAAATAGTTAAATAATCAATAATGATGCTCAGTAGCCTTGTTATTGATGCTCAGTAGCCTTGTTATTGATGATTAGTAGCCTTGTTACTGATGCTCAGTAGCCTTGATATTGATGCTCAGTAGCCTTGTTATTGATGCTCAGTAGCCTTGTTACTGATGCTCAGTAGCCTTGTTACTGATGCTCAGTAGCCTTGATACTGATGCTCAGTAGCCCTGTTACTGATGCTCAGTAGCCTTGTTACTGATGCTCAGTAGCCCTGTTACTGATGCCCAGTAGCCTTGATATTGATGCCCAGTAGCCTTGTTACTGATGCTCAGTAGCCTTGATATTGATGCCCAGTAGCCTTGTTATTGATGCTCAGTAGCCTTGTTATTGGTGCTCATACAGTAGCGCCGTGTCAAACAAAAGAAAGGGAGGGCGCCAGTGTTCGATCGCGGTCTTGGCCGAGCAAGTTCATCGGATTTTTCCGGTGTGTTCCCTCCCTTGTCAATGGGGCAGGGCGCAGAGTCCGGGAAGGGAGAACGTACACACAGTTTTGCCTTGATGTCATCGGCATTGCTTAATTTGCTAAAAGGGCGTATTATCAAAATCGGTAGAATTTGCAAATCACAAATGACCAAATTTCAAATATGGTTAATTGTTTATTTTTTATATTTATTTGATAAAGTATAGTTGAAAGTATCAGTTCTGAATAAATTTAGAACAATTTGTCAGCTTTTATCGGTCACTCACCAGTTAGAGATATGAAATTTCACGTAACGATTAATAATTGTGTAGAAAATATGTGAATATTCCATAAAATCATATTTTTAAAAGCATATTATGCAAAATAATTGGTCATTCTAGCATACAAAATCATGTTTTCCTCAATTTGGTTACCTTTTTTTTTAATAAAAACAAATATGTTACAGGGTTGACATAAAAGTACCTTCTTTTGAAAGAAAACTGGAAATATTCACGGGGGTACGTGAAATAAGATAGTGAAGTAAACCAGACTAAATTTAGATCAAAGCGGTGTGCCCCAGCTTTTCTTTTGTAAATGTCTTTTTTGAATGACATCACTACAATAGGAACGTCTCTTGGATTAACATTCAAAATAATCATTGTTTGTAACTTCTGTATAAACTTGCAATATCGCTATTCTTTATTTACTCTTTCGCTTTTAGAGTTCTCACTTTCCCACTTATTGTAATGCCCCCGTCAGTAAGGTGGCGTCCTTACGGCGCTGCTGCGACCGCACAGCGACTAGAAAATGCATAAGGTCGTCGGTAAACGTAACCACAACGCGAGAAAACGTCCCAAAATATTTACAAAATTGACAGAGGTCCCGTTCTTTACCCCGTCAGACCGGGGTGACGCATTTTCTGCGCTGCTACGGCGACGGAATATGGCCCCAGTGCGCGCCAAGATCGCCATAAGCGTGGTAAAAGTGTGGTGCAAACGCCAGATATCGCGCTGTGGTCTCGATGGTCGCGAATGATCGCCGAGTCACGGCGTTTGTTTTGAGCATGCTCAAAACAAACGCCAAGGTTCTGCGATCTGCCCTGGAAAGATGTGAAAACGCATTTTTCTTTTCAAGTTTGTAATATTTCGGGACATTTTCGTACGCTGTGTTCACGTTTGCCGGCGACCTTGTGCATTGTTTGGTCGCCGTACGGTCGCTGCAGCACAGTAAGGACGCCACCCGATCTGACGGGAACATTACAACTTTCCAGGTTAGATCGCAGAGCCTTGGCGTTTGTTTTGAACATGCTTAAAACAAACGCGGTGACTAGGCGATCATTCACGACCATGGAGACCACAGCACGATATCTGGCGTTTCCACCACGCTTTTACTGCGCTTATGGCGATCTTGTCGCGCTCTGCGACCATTTTCCGTCGCCGTAGCGTCGCAGTAAGGACGCCACCCCAGTCTGACGGGGGTATAAGTGAGATTATAAGCATGGAAGCTGCGCCGGGGTGCGATTGGTAGATACCCTAGGTTATTACGCGACGAGAGGAAAATGAAAGTGTATTTGAGCAAAGCCAAGCAGGATGACAGTGTAAAACACCAGTGTAAAACACCTAAATCAGTGATTCCCAACCTGTCCGCGAGATCTTCCTAAGTGTGCCGCGACATTTGGAATGTCACACTAAGAAAAAGCGAAAAGCCACTTGATCTCAATTGAGTATTCACTGGTGTCGTCTGGTACGTTCATGGCTGTGTTTTCTTTATTTAGTTTGAGTTATTCTATGTTTCTATGACTAGTCTGTGTCTACGGTTGTATGCCGTCTTTCACTTGCCATGTTTTTATTTTGAAAAATTGAAATATCTTTTATATATATTTAGGCAGGCGTGCCGCTAATTTTTCATGTGTTTCAAGGTGTGCCGTTGCCACAAAAAGGTTGAAAAGGGTGAGGTCACAGGGTTCAGTCTGCCAAGCCCATAGGTAATTGTAAACATAAAGGTTTCGAAAATAATTTTAAATTTCCTTTCACAATAAGGTTTTTTTTTTTTTTTTTTTTTTTTTTTCAAAATCTTTATTTCAAATCATCAATAACAGCATAGTACATAGTTCACATATTACAATCACAGTGTGTAACATCATACAGATACAGTCGGTTTATTGTTGAAGGCTATACTATATTTCACTGAGTAGAACAAATATATTCACAAAGAAAATAAAAGCTAATAAAAAACAAGAAAAAAAAAAAAATACAAAAATAACTACAGGTATTAAGGAGTTGGAATACTAGAAATGGAATACTAGAGGTATGGATAATATTCATATGGTATAATCCCATTTATTTACTAAGGTTTCGTTTAATTCATTTTCTATCTGTTGTTTACCTTTTAGGTAGTTTCGATAATTAATAATTGTCGGTCTGATATTTTCTATTTTCGATTTGTAGAGGTAGTATTTTGTTAAAAATATTAAATGATTTACAAATAAGAATTCACGATATGATTTAAAAACTGTTTCTTTCAGAAAACCGAAATGAATGTTCGTAAGTTGTAATTGTAATGAAATGTCATTAGTTGAGAAGATTTCATGTAAATCATTCCATATTACCTGGGCGTAATTGCAGTATATAAAAAGGTGTTCCGGGGTTTCTATATTTGAATAACAAAAATCTCACAATGAAGACTCCTTTAATTGGATTTTAAATAAACGGTCGTTTGTATATATAATTTTATGGAGGTATTTAAATTGAAAATTTTGTAATCTAGTATCAGTGCTCGTTTTATAGACCAAATTGAATATACATGAGGTTTCACGTTCTTCAAATATAAAACTATTCTCTTCTTCCCATTTACTTATTGCTAATGGTTTACTGAATTTAGAATCTACTCGTATTGAATAAATGTCTTTTGCTTTAATCTTATCTAGTGATTTTTTTATATATATTAATACAGTTGTTATTTCAGGTATTGTTTTAACTGATGCAGGGTATAATATTTTAGATACGCAGAATGTTTTTATTATATGGATTTTCCCTATTAAACTTAAGTTTCGTCTTTTCCAGGTATTCAAAGTATCTTCAATTTGGTCTATACAATTTTCAAAATTCATTTTTTCCGAAGTTTTTTCGTCTAGTGAATAGGTAATGCCTAATATTTTTATATAGTTCTCACGGTAAATAAAGCCTAAACCTTTAATATTATCAGGTAGTTGTGCGTTGCCACTGTTTAGATCGATCGCTTCAGTTTTAGTAGCGTTTAATTCGAACCCAGAAACCTTACTAAATGTTTTTAAAACGTCAAAAAGGTGCCTAGATGACTTAAAATCTTTCAATAAAACTGTCATATCATCTGCAAAAGCTATTAGTTTGAACGATTGATTCCCAAAGATAATTCCCCCTATGTTTATATCGTTTCTAATATATATACATAATGTTTCGATAACGAGGTTAAAAAGATTTGTGCTGCTAGGATCACCTTGACGTACTCCCCTGGCCACTTTAAAATAAGGAGTAGTATATCTATTATTCATTACTGCACAGTAAATGTCATTATATAATGTTTGTATCCATCTTAAGTAATTGCGTTTAAGTCCAAAAGCGTCCAAAACAGAAAACAGATATTTATAGCTAACGCTATCAAAAAGCTTCAAAAAGGTTACTATTTACTAAATAGTTCATTTCGTGTGGTGGGCATAGATGGGAAAGAAAAGAAATATGAAGTTATGTGTAAGGATTGTGTTTCTACGTACACAGTAAACATTAAACATACATTATGCAAGAGCTAAATCTGCCAACTGCGGATCTTTCTTTAGGCCTAAAATGTTATTTAAATTATTAATTAGACTTTAATTAACTTATCCATACCATAATCAACTCTGGATATTTACTTGATTAGAACCCGATCTACTGCTCAACGTTCATTCACGATTAAATCAACAAATAGATAATCAAGACTATGTTTTTTGTTATCGTACCGACTTCAGTAATGATGATCGAGGCTAGGCCCAAAATTCAATCGCTAAATTCTCGGCTCGGAGTGGATCAATTTCACTGAAATTTTCAGCAAACCCCCTTTACATTATCTACTGTCTGAACCGTGGTAAATTATAACCGATTTATTCGATTATGAACAAACTACTCTACTTTGGTTATTATAAACCTACCTGTGTGTTTGGAATTACCTCTGGTTATATAAGATCCATTGTACAACTATATATGCCAGAGAATAAAACAGTTCTCTCTTGTAAAATTGAACTCATCACAAACTTTGACACCAGGAAATACAAAAATGGAAGCTTATTACGTCACTTATTGGGATAGATCATTTCGTATAAGGGGGTCAAAGCAAGGCTTGTCTATCGTAACGGTGTTTGGCCCTTTTACGACAATTCAAATTTTGTGTATGAATAAGCTATTGCTCTCAGACCCAGTAATGAGCAGTAGAGTTGCAACAATGGGGATAAAATAGGTCAGTTGTGTGTGTTTGTGTGTGTGGGGGGGGGGGTGTAGCATGATATAATTTTTAATCAATAAGGGATCATTACAGGTATAACCGTCGGACCCTGTGAAAGCACACCTTACACCTTGCCATATACAAGCGTGAGATCGGATCTTTCACACTTC